AAGTATTAAATGTTTCTTTTTAACTGCAGCTTTTAATGAGCCCCAGGTAGGACCACCCTGGGCATGAGGAAAGCCTCCCAGACATGCCAGGTATTACAGCAGATTTGCGTGTAGCAAGCCTGGAGATAACAGCCTGTGGGAGCCAAGGTGGTGTTTGGGTTTGGAATTCATTACAAAAGCGATGTAAATCCTCTGAAGCCAGGTGGTGGGGGAGAGATGGGCTCCTTCCCTGTGCTAACACGGTGGTGCTGCTCTCCCAGATCCTGCCCGCGTGGTGAACATGCCCCCCGTCATCTACGTTCCCATCGGGATACACGGATACATCCGCTGCCCGGTCGAGGCAGAGCCCCCGGTCACTCTGGTCAAGTGGAACAAAGACGGACGTCCCCTGCGAATCGAGAAGGTAACGAAGCCCCCAGGGAGGGTCGCGCGGGGGCACGGAGAGGTTCGGACCCTTGTGTCCTCTGTGAACGCCAGTGAGTGTCACTGGGCGCCCTGCCCGCTGTCAGAGAGGGAGCCCCATGGGAGGGATGACACCGCTTTTCCTTATCAGCTGTGGGCAGAGTTAATTTGGGTTCTTGCGCGGAGCCCAGGACGCCTGTAGACAGGCTGTCTGCGTCTCCCAGACCTAATGCCTGCTGCCCTCTAAAGTGACCTCCTGATGGCCCTGTTTTTTTTTTCCAATGGCAACTGGTGGTTAAAGGACCCTTTTAACAAGTCTCTATCTTGATAGTCTGAGCAAGGATATTAGCCATTAAATATTTAAAGAAAGCGCTCAGTATTTTAAATTTTTTGCTTAAATATTAACGATCCAAAGTTTTAATTCCATTTAAACCTGTTGCTGCTGTGGGTTCCTGGCCCTTGGTGCCCTCAGCCCCTCGGGTGGAGTTGTGTCCTTGGTGCCACCAGGATGAGTTTTACTTAGGGTGTGATAGATTCTGATGTTAAATCTTCTGAGCTACTTGAAGAAGCCTGGCTGCGTGTATGGCGGAGAGCAGCCGCAAGATAAACCTGCGTGTCGTTGGGTGCGTACAGAGCAGGGCAACCCCTCCCAGGAGGGCTGCGTTTGGACGGGCTGATCTTGCCCACGTTTCCTCTCTCTGCAGTTGAGGAGATGGCTCGGATGCTGGGGATGGAATTGGGCATCTCCCGGGGACGTGACAGCCGCCCTGGGCTTAGGTGGGGGGCTTGGCTGAAGGGAAAATAGTAAGCTGTGGTGGGTGTAGGATAAGTCAGCTCCCTCTTTCTCACTGCCGCAGTATTCTGGCTGGAACCTGCTGGAAGACGGGTCAATCCGGATAGAGGAGGCAACCGAAGATGCTCTCGGCACTTACACCTGTGTGCCTTATAATGCCCTGGGTACGATGGGCCAGTCTCCCCCTGCCCGACTGGTACTGAAGGTAACCTGTCTGCTAAAATCCTTGCTCCGCAGCCGGCAGATTTGTGCGGCAGGTTGTGTCCTCCCGTGGGCTGGTCCCATGCCAAGAAGAGCTCCTGGGGTTGTGCGGGGTGCTGGAGTCCCAGGCCAGGTGGTGTGAATGTGTGGGAGCTTTGCGGAGGCATCTTATGCTGTAGTTAGGCTTTTTTAATATGGATTTTGCAATGTGCGTGTCACTCGTTCTGCCTTCCTGTTCAGCCCAGCGCTGCAGGGGAGCATGAGGAGGATTTTTTCCATGCTGCTTATGTGGTGGTTAATTCTGTGCAGAAACTGAGGTTTTACGTTACTTTTCTGAGCGCTTCTTTATGAAGTGGCCTGAAGAAGGGCTCTGTGCCCCCAAACTTGTCCGCTTTTCCACCTGCATGACTTGGCTTAGCAAAAACCTATTGCCTCTTGCTCTGAGCCTTGTCTCTTACCTGTGCTGAGAAAGGCAAACGCGGGCCCTTGCAAGCATCCTGGAAGGGGAACAGCAGAGGCTCGAGCGCGAAGGTGCGTCTATGCTGCGGGCAGAGGTGTGCTTCCCACCAGGACAGGCGAACCCTGAGTGCACCCCGTCTGGCGCAGCTGGAAATACCCCACCGGAGCGGCGGCACGGGTTTTGGCACAGGCTGGGCCACAGCCCGTGTATAATGAGTATAAAGCTTTGGCAGCGCTGGGCCAGGGTAGTTTGAGGAAACATGTCCCTGGGATGGCCTTTTTGCCAACAAAGCACTTAGCCCTGCTGACCCGGGCTTGGATTCACGGAGGATTTTAATAAACGGATGACTTGAGCTCTAGAGACGTTCTGCATGCTCTTGCTGCGTGCGGAGCCCGAGGCGTGCTGGGCTCCCGATGCGGTTCTCGGCGCGGCTGGGGTGGGAGCTGCTGCCTCTTCCTTCCCTGAACGAAAAGTCCTGTGCTTGTGAGCGGCGGTGATTCATGGTGTCTCACTGAGGTTCACGTGATAACGCTTTGTGTATCACAGACACAAACATCCGCTAAGATGGCTGCAGAGTCGATGAAATCAGGTTGATGTCTGATGCGATGTGGGTGGTTTTATTCCTGTTTACCTCCTTAAAACTTAAACAAGATGCCCTAGTGCAGCAGCTCTTTGGAGAAAACTTCCCTCCGGGTGTGTAATTTGGTGTACCATAGAGCCTCCGCACTCCGCCACGGCTTTCCTTGAAATGCCTCAGCCTTACCCAAACCGGTGATTCATTTGTTTTGGAAAAGGGCTGGTTTTGGTTGCGGGGAGCTGCTCGCGCGCGGTGGGAGTTGGCGCGGGTTGACGCTCCTTGCCTTTTCCCTTGGCTGCAGGACCCCCCCTATTTCACGGTGCTACCAGGCTGGGAGTACAGACAGGAGGCAGGGAGGGAGCTGTTGATTCCTTGCGCTGCTGCCGGAGACCCCTTTCCCATCATCGCCTGGAGAAAGGTACCCGGCCTGCCAGACAAATCTGCAGTGCCTTTGGCTTTTGGTGAATATTGCAGACAGAGAAGCCACACTCTGTCCCGGTAAGAACAAACTGCAGGTACAGCTGCTTCGCTTTGGGCTGAGCCACTGCCGTCCTGTCCCGCAGGTGGGTGGGGGAAGCCCGGTTTGTGGCCACCGAGTACCTTAATCCCGTGAAACTGTCACGGCAGCATCTGCAAAGCTGAGCGCTGCCCTGGCCCCCCCCCCTCCTCTTCCTTGCCGACGCTGTCCGCAGGACACCCTCCTCCTTGCCTGCCTGCAAGGTATGTCCAGGGGTCTCTTGGCTGCATTTTGGCAGGGGGCTGGACCGGTCAGTGGCTGCTTTGCTGCCCGGTGACTTCGAAGACCCTGGGAAGAAGCTGTTTTAATGATGCTGGACTGGGCATAATGATTTCAGGATGTCCCTTTCTGTAAAGCAGGGTAGGGTCCGGCGTGGCGGCACAGCCTGGGAGCTACCAGGGCTTTCTAGTCCTCCTCCAGCCTTCCCTTCGCTTCCCACCTTCACTGATCCCGTAGGAAAGCCACCGTGCAGGGGACCTCCTGGGCATTTTGTCTCCCTGTCAGGATCTTCTCTCCAAGCCTCCCGTCCCCTTCTTAGGGCTCCTGAGAGTGAGCGGGGTCCCTGCATCGCCCAGTGGGCACTGTCCTCAGTCCTTGTGGTGTGAGATGCTGGATCTGTTTGAGTTCCTTTTACCAGCCCAAGGAGGACCATGACTTGCACAGATTGCAAGTGAGCTACCTAAAACTTGTTGGCCGTTTAGTCTTTTTTCTCCATCTTATTTTTCTCTCCCCACCCCTCACCATTCTTATTCAGGTTTCTTTTCAACCCCTCTTGTGCCTTCTGGCGGTCTTCCTCATGTCATGACTCTGGGCTTATCCCCCCCCGACTCCAGTCGGGGCTGTCTTGGGCTGGGCTCAGTTTCCCAGTGGCAGAAGCAAGCTCCCTCGCTCCCCGTCAGCCCACCAGCGCTAACCAGTCTCTTGAAGGATTCCTGAAGACTTGGGCTTTGCACTGGTAACCGCACGTGCCCATCTGTTCCTCTGCTCATCCTGCATGGCATCGAACCGTGGGTCCCAGTGTCGATGGGCAGAGGCCCCTGCGTGAAGAACATCCGAAGAGGACTCAGGACAACGTGGGATTTGCACAACTTTGGCTGACGGACATAGACATGAGTTGTTACAAAATCCATCTTTCTGCTTGGCTT